ATAATGTCCAGGTTTCACTACCATAGAGCAAAACTGGCATTATCAGGGCCCTGAAAACCCGTAGCTTGGTCCTTCTGCACAGGTACCGGCACCTCCAAATACTCTTGTGGAGAGAGTTCATGACCCCTGCTGCCAGGCCAATCCGTCTGCTGACTTCCTGGTCTGACAGCCCAGAGTTATGAACTGCACTACCAAGGTATGTAAAGCTCTCTGTGACTTCAATGTCCTCGCCACAAGCACGTACCGACCGAACAGGTTCTTCTAGCAAGTTTTGGTCCAGGAGACCTCTAGACCCAAGGGCTTCGCTTCATTACTAAATGCATCGAGAGCCACCACTAGGGTTTCCAAAGACTCAGATAGAATGCAACATCATCGGCAAAGTCAAGGTCTGTAACCTTAATATTGCCCAGTGTTGCTCCACAATGACTTTGAACAGTAGCTCTGCCTAGTATCCAGTCCATGCAAGTGTTGAAAAGTGTTGGTGCAAGAACACAGCCTTGCCTCACTCCTGAACTGACAGGAAAGAAGCTCGACAGGCCCCCACCACACTTTACAGCACTTTCAGTACCAGTATACAGGTATGCTATTAGTTCAATAATCCTTGTTGGAATTCCTCTCAGTCTCAGGATCTCCCAGAGTGATTCCTGATGCATTGTATCAAACGCTTTCTTGAGGTCAGACGGGCCGCACGGCAAGCATCTGTGGCTTCCAGTGTCTCCTGAGAGATTAAAATCTGTCTTGTTCTTGGGCGTTCTCCAATCAATTCTTGGGCTGCATCAAGTGTTTCACGCTTAAAGGTGTCCAACAGAAGTACAGGGTCCGTCAGATTGTCAAGCGCTGTGAACCGATCAGAGATTGTCTCAGCAAACCTCTGAGCACACTCCCTCTCCTTCAGCCTGTCCAGATGAAACACCCTAGGGTGGTCATTGGGCCGCTGGGGAGTTTTGAAGTGTACCCGGAGGGTAGCCACAACCAATCTATGGTCAGTACCACAGAACTCAGCACTCCTATACACCCTGCAGTTCTGGAGGATCCTCCAACGAGTGCTAACGAGAATGTGGTCGATCTCCTTGGCTGCATTACCCGCATCGCTGTACCATGTCCAACGATGTGGGTCTGGGCGCTGGTACCAGGAGCCAGAAATCCTCAATTTCTGGGATCTAGCAAAATCCCGGAAAAGGAGGGAATTCTCGCTGCCGGTATCAACTCCCGAACCATGAGGACCAACTGACATCTCATAGCCAGCTCGATCACAGCCAGATACCGCATTGAAGTCACCCAGAACAATACGAATATCTCGCCGGGGACAACTGTCTGCCACGGATGCAAGTTTGCGTTAGAACATCTCTTTCACATCAAGTTTACAAACATCGGTAGGAGCGTACACAGCAATAAAGACATGAAGCCCAAAGACAGCTTCAGTCTCATTACCATATACGCTCATCGACTGGAGGAGTGACCTCTACCACCGAGGGCTGGAGCCTACCGAGACAGCTATGGCTACTCCCTGGAGATGGTGACCATCGCTGCGGCCTGACCAGTAATAGGTGTAGCCACTACACTGGTCGTGCCGCTGCCAGGTCTTCTCACCTCCGAGAGAGCAGCCACCCCTACTCTCAGCCTCCCAGTTCCCTCGATAGCAGGGGTAACCGATCATCCTGACGTAAAGAGCGGACGTTCCAAGCCCCCACCCTGACTTCCCGCCTGAGGTTAATCCTCGGGTAGTCACTCCGGGTGGACGCCACTTCTGCCACCCCACCGACGCTGCCCCCCACATAAAAGGCGGCAGGCTGCAGGACCCTTCATCCACCTGTGGGTTCCCTAGGGCTTTGCCCCACAAGCTTCATATTGGCTGGCGGCTGCCAGGACAGGCAGGACGAGGAGCTCCCGTTCCTATTCCGCGGCTGTTGAACCCAGCAGTCTACCCTCCCAACGGGGCCCGCACCCGCTCTGCTCTCGCTGGGTAGGAAGGATATTACCCATCCCCCCAGCATTTCCAGTTAAGTGTGCTCCCCCGAGCCTCCCATTGACCCCAGGGGTCTTAGGGCATGAGTTTGGTACAGGGCAGGGCGTGTCCACCCGACCGGAGGGCATGACCCTGTACCTCTGGGGCCTCCTACTGCTCCGAGATCCCCTACAGTTCAGCCTGGGACCGCAAGGTGCCAGTTTCCATAGGTGGCCACGAGGAGGCACTGCAGAAGTCTCCATGATGGAGAGGCTATGAACTGGAAAGGGAGAGACTTAATGCAGCGCTGCTCCCTTTTTCGCAAAAAGCTAGCCAGCGGTGGCAGCTGCAAGTGAGAAAGCCATGCAAGCACTAAACACTAGCTAGGCTACCACACCATCGCTTNCAGGGGGCTCAGGGGCAGGAGTTAGTACAGGGCCAGGGCGTGTCCACACGCCTGTGGGCCATGACCCTGTACCTCTGGAGCCTCCTGCTGCTCCGAGATCCCCTACAGTTCATCCTGGGACCGCAAGGTGCCAGTTTCCATAGGTGGCTACGAGGAGGCACTGCAGAAGTCTGGATGATGGAGAGGCTATGAACTGGCAGGGGAGACTTATGCAGCGCTGCTCCCTTTTTCGCACAAGGATAGCCAGCGGTGGCAGCTGCAAGCGAGAAGGCATGCAAGCACTAAACACTATCTAGGCTACCACACACATCGCTTCACACCACCTGCGCATGAAGCACCCACCCATTATAATTATGACAATAATAATGATAAATAATGATAAATTCATAATTATAATGATAATCTTGATAATTACTGCAATAATAGCAATAATTAACTCTATTCCAATAATTTCCATACTAATAATGGCAATAGAAATAAAAATATCATTATCATTGTCATTATAATTATTATTATTGTCATTATTATTTCTAAGATCATCATTATTGCTATTATCATTATATAGATAGTTATAATGATAAAAATAGCAATAATAATTAGCATAATAATTATTATAACTGCAATAATGATGATAATAATATTGATAATCATGAAGATAATGACAATATTGATAATCATAAAAATGATGACAGTAATGATAATAATTATCATTCAGTCCATTTATAATGAAATAAAGGCCAGAAGTAATAAAATCCCAAAAGTCGAAAAAACGGCAAAATCTTGCGTATTACAGCCTTTTGAGAGAAACGTCGAAAAAAAACCTTTTCGATTTTTAATGGTAATTATGAGGATTTTAACATTAATTCAGTTAATTATGATGATTTCCATGGTGATTCCTTTATTATTGACAATAATGATGATAATTATGATGAAACTGACAATGATAATGACAATAATAATGATAATAATGATAAAGTCATAATTATAATGATAATCTTGATAATTACTGCAATAATAGCAATAATAAACTCTATTCCAATAATTTCCATACTAATAATGGCAATAGAAATAATTATAACATCATTATCATTGTCATTTTAATTATTATTATTGTCATTATTATTTCTAAGATCATCATTATTGCTATTATCATTATATAAATGGTTATAATGATAAAAATAGCAATAATAATTAGCATAATAATTATTATAACTGCAATAATGATGATAATAATAATGATAATCATGATGACAGTGACTATAATGATAATCATAAAAAATGATGACAGTAATGATAATAATGGTGATAATAAATATTCATTCAGTCCATTTATAATGGAATAAAGGCCAGAAGTAATAAAATCCCAAAAGTCGAAAAAACGGCAAAATCTAGCGTATTACATCCTTTTGAGAGAAACGTCGAAAAAAAACTTTTCGCTTTTTAATGGTAATTATGAGGATTTTAACATTAATTCAGGTAATTATGATGATTTCCATGATGATTTCTTTATTATTGACAATAATTATGATAATTATAATGATAATGACAATGATAATGACAATAATAATGATGATAATGATAAAGTCATAATTATAATGATAATCTTGATAATTACTGCTATAATAGCAATAATCAACTCTATTCCAATAATTTCCATACTAATAATGGGTGTACTGCCTCCAGTAAAACACTAGCAGTCAGTTAAACCTTTATTGTCATGTTCACAAGCTGGTAGGTATGAGCAGTGTATCCAACTTGCAAGATGACAACATACACGTACGCGTGAACGTGCACGTGATATGAGGTGAAAAGCTGTAAGAAAATAAATCTTCACAGTTTTGGAAATAAAAAGTTGTACACAAATAAAGTAAATGAATCATACAAATATCAAATAATATTAATACAATATGAGATAGAAATATTAAGAACAAATCAATAGAAAATTATAAAAATACTGCAAGACTAACATATATATAAACATTAAACAAACAAATAACTTCTTATTCCTTATACTATCTTATGACATTTCCTGAGTTAATTAAGGCACTTTATAAAAGATCAATAATTAAAGACTAGATACTTTCATTAAATGAATAGGAAACAAAACATTATTCTTTGGTAAATAACTGAAATAAAGCTTGGTAAAAATATAAGAGTACAATAGGAATGGGACTTACTTATATCACATAATTTCAAGTTATATATCACATAAAAGACACAACTTTGTTATTAACATATGCTCTAACATCTGAACAATACATTATTAACAGTATAAATAGTTGACTTACAGTGTGGCTGGCCCAAATCTTCATAAAACAAGAATAATTTAAAAGTACGCAGCACAAGACGTCTCACGTGGCTCTCTAGAGGGGCTCCGCGGATTCACAAATGCGTTTTTGTAGGGCGTTCGTACAACTCTAACGTCACTGTAGCCAACATTACAAACTAAATGAAAAATAATCATTCTCATGTTAATACATTAAATCAAATAAATTCTTGATCTAAATTCTATATATATATAATATCAGACAAGGAATCCTTGATTCCTTTACACTCCCTGCCTGATATCAACAAATTTGATATCACTACTCTAATACTGATTAAATGACAAACAGGAACTGAAATGTGACTTGTTCAAATAAAAAATAGCTACTTAGCACCAGAAACCAAAAGAATTAACTCTGAAATTGGTCTTGTGTACACAACTGGGTTTCCATCTCTCATAACCTTTAACTCCACTTTCCTTACTTTGCCATCTTCACTTTGGATAGCTCTTACAACAATTCCATATGGCCATTGTGTACGACAAACACTTCTGTCTTTCAATAACACAACATCACCTTCAGTGAGACTAGGTTTTGCACAACACCATTTTCTACGTTCTTGGAGTGTGTGCAGATATTCTTTTTTCCAACGATTCCAAAATATTTCTGAGAGGGCAGAAACACGTTTCCATTCTGTTTTCAAAAGGTCTTTTGTATCAATTTCTCCTACTGAATCTTCTACATGGTCTATTCCAACTTTCTGAGTAAGAAATGGTGGCAGGTGACAAGATGAAAGGGTTTTCTGGATCAGTTGATACGTTTACTATTGGTCGATTGTTCACTATGGCACATACTTCTGCCATGAAGGTTGATAACACTTCATGCGTCAAAGTTTTATAAGGAGTTTCAGCTAGCATTGACTCTAAGATCTTCCGGCAGATTCGAATGAGGCGTTCCCATACACCTCCCATGTGCGATGAATGGGGAGCGTTGAAGATCCATTTAGTGCCTGTTTGGTACAGATGGTCTACTATCTTCTTTTCTTCCACATTTACTGCATCTATCTTGAGGCTATCAGTTGCACCAACAAAGTTGGTTCCTCGGTCAGATCTATACAGTTTAACTTTACCTCTGAGAGCTTCAAATCTTTTAAGTGCATTAATAAAAGCTGAAGAGGACATTTCTTCTACCAACTCAATGTGTATTGCTCTTGTTGTAAGACAAGTGAACAAAATAGCCCACCGTTTAGAATTTGCTGATCCACCACGAGTTCTGCGTGTCGTTATAGTCCAAGGTCAAAAGCATCAACTCCAACATTGGTAAAGGGTGGAGTATGTTCTAAGCGATCTGCTGGGTAGATCACTCATCAACTGGACTTCTTCTTTACCTCGTAACTTTCTACACTGGACACAGGAGTGTAAGATTGATGAGATCAACCGTTTCACGCCTGTAATCCAATATCCACCAGATCTAACAGCTCCTTCTGTAAGATGACGTCCTTGGTGTCGAACACTTTGGTGATAGTGACGTACTATAAGTGTAGAAATATGACTTTTACCAGGCAAAATGATTGGATGTTTCTGGTAACTTCCAAGACTTGATTGTTGCAATCTTCCGCCAACCCTTAACACACCATCTTCATCTAAGTACGGGTTGAGAGCCATAATCGAGCTAGATTTTGGAAGATGCATTTTTGCTTCAAGAAGTCTAATTTCTTCTTTGTAAGTTTCCTTTTGAACTGCTTTGATCACAAATATTTCAGCTTTTCTGAAAGACTCTACACTTCTATCAGCTCTACCTTTAAATGATTTGGCACATGCACATCTCTGCAATAAAGCAACAGTATTTACTAGGCGATACCACTCAGAGAACCTTTCAAATCTGTGACACCCAATTGATAAATTGTCAATCACACAGGTTTTAGCTGCCTTTACCAGAGCATCTGGCCTTACTTCCTTATCATCTTCTGGTTGAACTAGCTGTGGAGTTTCTTGAGCAAGATCATGACGCCTACTCAAGAATGTTTCAGGTCCTTTCAGCCATATGTCGTCACACGAGAAATCATTCACCATAGAGCGAGTTGCTCGATCAGCTGGATTCACAGATGTAGGAACATAATTCCATTGTTCTGGCTTAGTTGACCTGTGAATACGGTTCACTCTATTCTCAACATACACATAAAATCGTCTTGTTTGGTTGTGGATGTAGCCAAGAACTACTTTACTGTCAGTGTAAAATTTCACTATATCAATTTCTTCATCAAGGTTCTCAAGTACCACTTCACTAAGTTCTACTGCAAGTACTGCAGCACACAATTCTAGACGAGGTATAGTATGCCCATGCAAGGGTGCAATTTTTTAGCTTTCCCCATCACAAATCCAATTTCTGAACTGCCATCTTCGTGTACAGTTTTCAAATATGAGACAGCAGCAATTGACTCTTTGGAAGCATCTGAAAAGACATGCAATTCTTTTTTGACTTCTGTTGACAAGGATACTGGAACATACATTCTTGGTATTTTCAAACATTGTAAGGTCTTAATACGGTCTTTCCAAACTTTCCATTCCCTCATCCAGTTTTCTGGTAGAGGTTCATCCCAATCAATAGTCCCAGATAAGAACTTTCGCAGAAGCAACTTGCCTAGAACTGTAAGCGGGCTGCAAATCCTAGAGGATCATAAATGCTGTTGACTGTTGACAGCACACCTCTACGAGTGAAGGGTTTATCTTCTGCAATCCTATAAGTAAAGATATCTGCTTGAAGATCCCAATATAATCCTAAACTTCTCTGCAACGGAAGATGTTCAGCATCAAAGTCCATGTCCTTCAAATCTTGAGAGATGTCGTCACCTGGCAAGGCTGACATGACTTCTTGCTGTTTGAAACAAATTTGTGAAGTCTCAAATTTCCATAATCTGCTAGACCCTTCTGAGTTCTTGTCAGTAGGTTAATAGCTTCTTCAGTACTTGATAGAGATATCAGACCATCATCAACATAAAAATGTCGCTGGACAAATTTTGTGACGTCTTCACCATATGTACTTCCTGCAGCTTCAGCAGTCTTCTGTAGTCCATATATTGCTACTGCGGGTGATGGACTATTTCCAAAAACATGTCTGGTCATACGATATTCAATAAGTTCTTAACTTAAATCATTGTCTTTGTGCCACAAAAAACGAAGATAGTTTCTGTGTTCTTTATGTACTTCAAATGAATAAAACATCATCTCAATATCTGCTAATACAGCCACTCTGTTCTTTCGAAAACGTAGAAGTACACCCAACAGAGAATTATTTAGGTCTGGACCTGTCATCAACACATCATTCAATGATGTACCTCTAAACTTAGCAGCAGAGTCAAAAACACACCTGATACGACTAGGTTTCTTTGGATGATACACTCCAAACACTGGAAGATACCAACATTCTTCATTTTCTTTCAAAGGTGGTGCTATTTCAGCATGACCTCTTTCAAAAGCTTTTTCATAAAGTCTAGGAAATGTTCTCTTTTAACAGAATTGAACTGAAGACTCTTGGCTAGGCTATTGGCACGTCTCACAGCCATGGATTTATTGTTCGGTAATCTTTTCTTTAAGGGCTTAAAAGGTAAAGGTGCACTCCAGTTACCTGCTGGTTCTTTGACAAATTCTTTCTCCATTAACTTCAAGAACATTTTGTCTTCTGTGGATTTTCCAGGTTCGTCATCATTTTTGGTTCGGTGAAACACTGTAGAACCAATATCATTTTCCTTCCATGGTGTAAAACCGCTGTGATATCCTGTGTCTTCTTGTACACATATACAACTTGGACAAGGCTTCAAGACTGATGGACGACCATCAGGATTTACATATATTTTCCTTACATTCACATTCTTTGTTGCGTGATGCTTCCCCAGGCAGACTTCACCTACAATTACCCAGCCTAACTTCATCTTCTGGGCAAAGGGTGTACCTGGTGGACCTGTTACTTGATCTAGTACATGGTGAGCTTCGGGTAGATCTCTACCAATCAATAATTGAATCTGAGCCTGATCATCAAGAGGTGAAATTTCTGAACCAATGTCTTTGAGGTGTGGATGAAGTCGAGCAATGTTGGGAGTTGGAATCTCAGTCCTATTATTAGGAAGTTCATCACATTCGATGACTGTAGGAAGGCTCATCTGTAGACTACCATCAACAGCTTGTATGCATAGTCCACCAGCTTTCCTTCCTGTCATAACTGAACGGCCAGAGCAACTAGTTATGATGTATTCCTCTGCCACAGAGCGAACATCAAAGAAATCTAAAAGCTCTCCTTTAGCTAAAGATTTGTTACTCTGATCATCTAATATAACATATGACTTCATACGCTTCTCGGGTTACTCTCATGAAAAACGTAAACTGGCAAAATTTTAGCACAAGACTTTCCAGGAAATTCCTCACATACACCAGTACTCTTGTTGGTCACATCTAAAGCTTGTTCACGTACTGACTCTTTAACAACACTCTGCTCCGGCTTCTCCCTGCCATGAGCCTTAGTACTTGTCTCAGGAACAGACTGAAATTTCTTCAAATGCATAGCAGTGCAATGGTATTTACTTCCACAGTCTTTACAGGTTATGTCCTCTGGACAATCTCTACTTAAGTGGTTCTTCGAGATGCAACACTTAAAACATATTCTATTTTCTTTCAGAAGTTTCTTGCGTTCTTCTAAAGACTTTGACTTAAAGCTTTTACATTCATGTAGAGAATGGTTGGTCCCATGTATTATACATTTAAGGGCTTCTTCATCAGGCACTACAGTCTTCTTTGTAGTTACTTTAAATTTATCTAGCTTTGAAGTCTTGTCTGTATGAGATTTTACTTCTGGCTCAAAATTAAATCCTGGATCATTATGGATTTGTGCAACGTCAGAAATGAAGTCTACAAAATAAGAAAAGGGTGGGAATAACACACCTTGTGTTTTCTTGTAGTTGGATGCTTTGTCTCGCCATTTTCCTTGTACTGAAGGAGGTAACTTGCTTATCACAGGGTTTATTCCTGCAGATGTGTCAAAGTGTCCAAACAGTTTCTCGTAAAGTGGATTTTCTTTAAGCGACTGTACTTCGCAAAGAAGATCATGCAGATCATACAGTTTCTTGGGATCTCTGAACGTAACCTTAGGAAACTTTTCTAGTTTCTTCTTGATAGATGCTTCAATAATCTCAGGACTGCCATATCTATCTTCAAGCCTCTTCCATATCAACTTGATGCACTTACTTGGATCATGTATATTGGAAGTCCTTATACTCTGCGCAAATTTGGACGACTCAGGGCCCAGCCACCGGAGTAAAAGGTCAACTTCTTCCAAAGACGTAACATGCAGATCTTGAATGGTCTGCTGAAAAGTAGTTTTCCAAGGCACATAAGA